ATAAAAATTACACAGTGATTTAAGACACATTTTGCAGGTAATGAAACGGAGTCCCTTACTTGACCACTTTTAAGCTATTAGAAAATTTGGGAGTCCTTTCATATCACATTAGAAGCAGCAGATTAGAAGTAAAGGGAAAATGGAATCCTTTTATAATAATGAGAAGTAACTGTTTATACCCATTCAATTATTCATTCACTTCCCCTTCACTCAGCAAATATTTATTACTCATTTTCTGTGAGCCAGGCATAAAGGTACAAAAAGTGTCAAAAGCAGATGGAACACTTAGAAATCTTGGTCCTGTGGTGTTATCTATCACGACTTTTTGGAGACAGCAATGCATTACATACAGTAGGTGTTTCTAAGAAGTGTTTAAATGAAAAGTTCATTTATCTGTATACCTTAGTTTTTGGTTATAGCCACCATGATGTGTTGTATTGTTTAAGTATTGGTGTTTGGTCAGATTTGTGGAGTATTTGGTGTCTTCATAAACTTGATGGGACTACCATCATAAACTGTGTCACATTACCCAAGTTTCTTTATTTTATTTATAAAAGTGTAGCTTGAATCTTTTTTCCATTATGATAGGGAGGGTACAGCTTTGATAGGCATTATCATTTAGAACAGGAATTGGCAAACTATGGCTTATGGCCAAATCTGTTCTGCTGTTTGCTTTTGTAAATAAAGTTTAATTGGGACACAGCCATACCCATTTGTGTATGTATCATCTATGGATTGTGCCCTGCAAAGGCCAAATAGAGTTGTTGCAAAAGAAACATTGTGGTTACAAAGCCAACTTATTTACTATCTGGCCCTTTACAGAAAAACTTTGTGCTGACTCCTAATATAGAAGTTATAGTTTCTGGAAATCATGTTTCTTTTGATGAAAAAGGGAAAGCTAGACAAACATTATTTTATGTTTAGTTTAAATTAAACCTTAAGGTGCTCATTAGAACCTAGGATTTTTTTCAGAGGCATATTTAGTTTTTGGTACATTGTTTATTTTAAAGTACTATTTCATCTATTATATTTCATAAATTAACTCAAATTTGTACTACTTTTGTTGTATGAATGTGAAAAGACAATTAAAAAAAGACAATTCAAAATGCAAGATTAAAAGAAATGTAAGAGATCTATTAACTAATCATAAGATAGAGATTTAGATGGATTCCCATTTAAACCGAAGTTTAAAAAACAAAATAACAATAGTAGAAAGAATTTTATAAGACAGCCGGAGAAATGTGAACATTGATGAGATATGTTTCAATTCTAAAGATGGTTCATCTTTTTATATGTCAATTGCTTAGGCTGAGGTTCTGTTTTTTTAAAAAAATCATTTTTAATTTTATTTGTTTATTTTTAAAGATTATTTATTTATTTGTCAGAGAAAGAGAGAGAGAGAGAGAGAGAGAGAGCACATAAGCAGGGGGAGCTGCAGGCAGAGGGAGAAGCAGGCTTCCCACTGAGCAAGGACTCTGATGTGGAACTTGATCCCAGGATCATGAGCTGAGCCACAGGCAGATGCTTATGGACTGAGCCACTCAGGTGTCCAAAAAGTCATTTTTTAGATGTAAAAAAGTTCAAATTAAAAAAAATTTTAAAGGGTTACATTCTGATTACTTAATTTGGTTGGTATGTTATTTCCAAATATAACAAGTTTCCCTTTATTTGCACATTATAAGTCTGTAAGCTTTAAGTGATCAGTAGTACTAATTTGTCTTTCCTCAATTTTGTATATTTATGATGAATAAGGAAGCGATGGGGTAAAATAGATAGAAATCAGTTTTTAAGTCCAAAGAAGCAGCTCTCATTTTCTCTTGTGTCTTTCTTATCCAGAATAATGTATTTTGATTATTGGGATCCCTGAACATTCTTGAGAGCTTTCTAAATCACAAAATGAGACATTTTTAGACTAATTATGGAGTCATGATTCCTTGAAAATGGGTGGTTGCCATCCATGAGGTTGCAGTTCACATCTCTTATTTGGCCAAATAACTCTTTCTGGGAAGCTTGGCTGTGCTAGCGTTTGCCGCAGCAGACAAGAAGCACTGGCTTGTTGAAGGTTTCAATAACCCCATCTCAGGGCTGCTCTCAGTAGAGTGTCATTGCTTTTTGTTTTACATCATGTTGGACTTGTTTTAATGTAAATTAAATTGGGTATAACACAAGGAAAATGTTGTCCCTTAAGGAATTTTGACACCCTAGTTTATTATTATTTGTTTAATATCTTGCCTATGTTTATTTGATGCTTGGTATGCTTTAGGCACTGTCACATATGCTTGGATATGTCAGTGAAAAAACAAAAGATTCCCATTCTTATGACACTTACAGTTTCTTTGGGGAAGGTAGAAGTAAACAATAGGCATAATATGTAAATTATAAAGTGTCTAGTATGTTAGAAGGTAGAAAAAAGAAAGATGTGGAAAGAGCAAAATGGCAGGGATTGGGAATCCTGGGTAGGTAGTTGGGTATATTTTTACATAGGTCTCATTAAGGGGACACTTCTGAGCAGTTGAGGGAATTTGCCACTTGGGAAAAAGGATGAGACTGATAGAGGGAACATTCAGGGTGAAGGCCTTGAGACTAGTAGTCTCCTTGGCATATTTGTGTTTTGGGGAGGCTGGAGTAAAGTAAGCCAGGGAGCAAGAAGACTAAGAGATGAAGTAAGGAGGGAGCAGGAAGGATCACATCACTTAGGATTCTCATTCAAACTCCAGGATTGTGCAGATTTTGAAGAGGAATGTCATTGTCTGACCTATGTTTTACAAGGAAGTCGGTGGCTAGTGAGCATAGACTGGGGCAGGGAGCAAAGCAAGGCATACGTGAAAGTAATGAGTCCATTGCAACAGTTCAGGTAACAGATGATGGCAGTTTAGACAAAGGTGGTAGCAGGAGAGGAGGTGAGAAGTGGTCACATTCTGGATATATTACAAAGGTAGAGTCGATGGGATTTCCTAACTTGAATGAGACAAAATTTCTTTCTAAGTTTTCTCCTTGGAGAGTCATTAAGACTGTGACAAATGTGAATGATACTGCATTTAATGTTCTAGAAAGTGATTTTTTGGGCATGTTAGTATCATGTAGCTTTTCAGAATTTTAAAATGATTTCAAAAGCACTTATATGCCATTTTGTGTGATTATTAACTACTAGAGAGGTAGTTTTTGATAGGAAGAAAAGGTCAGATATTCAGTATTCTTATCCATAAGATGGGAACCAGAGAGTCAAATTCCCGTGAATATTGTAAAATGCCTCAACTATTTTAAAAATTTGCATAGCAACCAATGGCAAATTGATTTAATTTAAAAGCAATGTCTTTAAGAAATGAAAAATAAAACTAAAAATATTTTATTTTAACAAAGATTTTATTTATTTAGTTGACAGAGAGAAACACAGCAAGAGAGGGAACACAAGCAGGGGGAGTGGGAGAAGCAGACTTCGCGCTGAGCAGGGATCCTGATGCGGGGCTGGATCCAAGGACCCTGGGATCATGACCTGAACCGAAGGCAGATGCTTAATGAATGAGCCTCCCAGGCCCCCAAAACTAAGAATATTTTGTAAAACGCCATTAATTCCAGATACTGGGATTGGACCCAAGATGACCAATGGGCATGCTAAGATTTAGCTTCAAACTTCTGTTCTGATCATTTAATATACTACTTCAGCATATCTTTTACATCTTCACATGAAGAGAAGTTATTTCTTATATTACATTCCTTTTCTAGAAGAAGGAAGTGCTAAAAATGCCATCAGGATAGCTCAACTCGTATTTAAGTTTCTATTTCAGTTTTTCTTCCATTTGAACTTTATATGATAGCTTTTCTTTTCATTTTCTATGCAGTGGTTTCATTTGATGGAGGAATAGGACAAACTGTTTTCTACTTTCAGAATCCTTTAGAATTAAAAAAAAATAGAAGTTTGAAGGGGTAAAGTTGTTTATTCTTGTTGGCCCTCTCTTTTTTCAGTGCCTCCTACCTTTATGTATATTGGAAAATAGTTATTGGACTTAACTATTTAGTTTCTCACTAGAACTATTTGGGTATGTTTGAGTGGCTCGTTAGATTTTGTTTTCCAGTCTGTCACTGGTCTTATTAACAAATGAATCTAAAGACTTCAATGTGCATTACTTTGAGTTTTAGTGTTGGGATGATGAGAAGAACAGAAACAAAAAAATAGAGATCAGAAAACTAATGAGCAGGCATAAACAAGTTCAAGGAAACCTATTACTAGCTGGTTCAGATCTTTAAGAAGTTGGCTATGGAAGGAGATGAAGTGATTGATTATTATGGTAACTGCTTGCTGTTACTGTGTTAGGGAATGAATGGAGTGGTTAATTATCCTGAATGCTATTTGAAATCTTTGAAAGTAAGTTTTTTAGTTAGTGAACAGTATCCTTTTATTTACTTCTTTATGTTAAAACTTGAAGTTTAGGGCTTAATAAATTACTTTTGGTACACACCATAGTACTTACCAGAGTAGAAATGATCTAAGGGTCATATATATAGGTCATTTGTATATTTTTGTTGTGTCAAGTCTTGCAAATGTAAGTACATCTCATTGTTTTGGGGCATCTCTAGATGTACCCACTCATTTTGAGTAGACCCAGTTGTTATAGTAGGCAAGATGACCAAATCTGAAAACATTCACTGAAACTTTAATTCTTAACCTGATTAAATAGATCTTGTGACCTTAGTGATCCAAGATAAAGCTTAATATTTTCCACTGGGAAATCAACTATTTTTTTACTTCTTATGTTGAATTTTGCCAACTTTTAGTTGTTGGTTATTGCAAATGAAATTGTACCATTTTCAGTTGTAAAATTTCTAAGTTGGGGAAAATTTTAAAATTTGGGACATATGGCCATATTATTATTTTGAGGTAAACCTACAATTATATCTTTGTGCAAGACATTTTTTCAGTTGCCTTACTACATGATTTATATTTATAGAATTTGTAGGAGAAGATGATACTGAATTTTAAAAGAATAATTTTCTGTTATTAGCTTTTTAGTTGGAGAAGGAGCCTACAGATGGGCAGTAGATCACGGAATACCCTCTTGCCCTCCTAACATCATGACCACAAGTGAGTAAAAATTTTTCAAAATTAAGCTGTATTAGCATGTACCTGGAAGTGTTACAATGCTTTAATCCACATAGTATTCTGATATATAAAAAAGGAATCTTATATGTTGAACTATTTAGAGTTAAAAGGAAGTTATTTGATTTTAAGGTACTTTTGTATTCCTGAGGATCCCCCCGGTTTTATAGAAGTATTGCTAAAGGATCCCTTTTAGGTTACTTAAAATAATTACTAACAATAAAACCTTAATACTACCCCCTCAGAGAGAGAGAGAAGAAAACACAGGTCAGCATTTATCCATCTTTGACCTGAGGAAGCCCTTTCTATGGACAGGTGCAAGAGAAGGAAGAACAAAAGTGTTACTATATAAGCGTTAAGACTGAAAAAAACCCCACTTACCATAAATATGACAAAGTATACATATCCTTAATCTATGAAAAGGTATATTAAATTAAAAACCACACAAATACAAATAATACCCCAAAAGAAAAATGATCAAAAGTCATAAATAGATAATAGAACATAACTAATTGGGAAATGCAAATGAGTACATTTTAAATTTGTTCCCTCCTAATTTGTGAGAGTTAAAAATACTGTATCACTGCTCATAGGTGTGTGATGAAATGAATATAATACATTGTAGGTACAAATATAAGTTAGCAGAAATTTTGGAGAACAGCTAAGTAATATAGAGCAAAGCCTTAAACTTACTCTGCTTGTAAGAACTTGACATTAGAAATATAGACAAAAATTTATATAGTTCTCAGTAAGCATTATTAAGAATGTCAAAAAGTTTGGAAAAATCTTATATCCAACAGAGAGAAATGTAAGTAAGTAAATCATCATATAACGAAATGTTATGTAGTAACTAGAAATTGTTATCAAGACTACTGTCTGATCATGATTAACTCTAATGATTTTGAAAAATGAAAAATGAGTTATAAATATATATGTGTGAATGTGTTTTATATGTCTATTTGAAAAATGAAATCATAGCTACTAATATTTATGCCTAAAAGACAAATATTGAAAACATATACTACTTGTTTTTTAAGTTAAATTTTAATTTTCTGTCATAGTTACCTATGACTATAAATAATCATGAAAATATGGGGAATCCTTCAATCCAAGGAAACCAACTTGTATTCAAAAGAAATGATTATATATCATAGCAGGTATGTAATAAGGATCTTTTTTTTTTTTTTTTAAATATTTTATTTATTTATTTGACAGAGAGAGAGAGAGAGAGAGAGTGCGAGCGTGAGAGCGCAAGCACAAGCAGGGGGAATGGCAGGCAGAGGGAGAGGGAGAAGCAAGCTCCCTGCTGAGCAGAGTGCCAGATGGGGGACTCGATCACAGGACTCTGGGATCATGCCCTGAGCCAAAGGCAGATGCTTAACCAACTGAGCCACCCAGGTGCCCTTAAGGATCAGTTTTTAATAACATTATATTCAAAATGAGGACTCATGTAGCTGAACATTGTAATATAAAGAGGTTGGAGGGAAGGGAAATACGATCATGGTAGGCAAACTGGGAGTATGAGTCTAATTCTCATAGTCCCTCCCACTGATTCTGCCTTAAAATCTCCCAGGGGAATTTATGTAGAGTTCTTATGTCACCCAGTCAAATCTGGTCATTTGATAGTTCCATTTCGTTTTTCTTTGGAGATATGCCACTTGGCACCTTCAAGTCTAGAATGGGTATTCAGTAAGCCTGGTGCATGACTCCCATCCCTGGTCTTTACCTCACCATCATATTGGATTTCCTTTTCATCTCTCTAATACCAGGTTCTCTGTTTCCTGAATCTCATGTGTTTTTTTCTCTCTTGTTTTATTCCTGTATTTGGTATATACAAGACTAGAAATTGTTTTTCCTAGGTTTTGAAGAAATTGTTCTCTTATGTTCTAGTTTTCAGTCTTGCTGTTATGCATTTTGATTCCCAGTTCTTTATGGTGTATTTTCATCTTTGGAAGGAAGCCTTAATTCCTGTGTTTTTAATATTACAATGAAGCATCTTAGAATTGGTCTTTTTTTATTCAGCGTGCCTGGTACTTACTGAGTATGGAGTACTGAGTACTTTTAATCTGGAAATTCATGTAATTTAGTTTTGAGGAACTTAAAAATATTTTGTATATTAATCTCTTCCTTATCTTTCCTCTATTTTATTTTTCTAATTTCTGTGAATTGGATGTTGGATCTTATGCTCCAATCCCTTGTATCTTTTTCAAAAATTATTTTTTCTCCTTTTTGAAATCTCTCTTGTCCTACTGTCTCAGAAATGTCTTCAGTTTTATCTCCTAAACCTTCTACGCTTCTTCTTTTTTAAAGATTTATTTATTTATTTGTCAGAAAAAGAGAGAGCAGCATGTATGAACAGGGGAGTGGCCGGCTAGAGGGAGAAGCAGGCTTCCTGCTGAGCAAGGAGCCTGATGTGGGACTTGGTCCCAGGACCCTGGGATCATGACCTGAGCCCAAGGCAGATGCTTAACTGACTGAGCCATCCAGGCATCCCTAAACCTTCTGCTTCTGATGAATTTGTAATTTTGGCTTTTATTTGTTTTAATTTCTAGGGATTCATCTATGACTAAAACATTTATTTATTTTACAAAAAAGAAAAGTATTGAACTAGGTGAATTTGAGGAGAAATTGTAACTATTATTTAATTTAAAAAAATTTAAATGCTATCTTATTTGGGCACTTATCTAATCCTCAGTCAAGATTAACTTGTATACTGGTACTTAATGATGTTCTTTAAACTTGATTACCTTTTTTTTTTTTTTTTAAGTAAAGAAAATGGTGGAATTTAATCTTTATTTACAGGACACTGCAAGAGAGGAGATTCCACATAGAAATAAGAAACCCACTGAGAGGAGGAGCTTCATACAGTTTGTACAGTTTGGAACTAGTCAAGTAGAGTTTTGTTGTAAAAAGTGCTATAATAAGAAAACCCATTTAAAAAGAATTATTAGTAGAGAAACAGTAAGACAAACTTCTACCAAACAGAGCACACCACAAACAACTTTCTGCCTCAGCTGTATAAGCTAAAAGTTAAAGGTCCCAGCAATGCCATCCTGAACCTGGAACGTATAGCCTTCAGAGGTAGTTTCTGGCACAACATTCTGATCTTCCTTTTCTTCTACAGAGAAATACTTCTCAATCAAGTTTAATGAAGCTTTGTATGCACACTCATTTTCATGGTTTTGTAGAGCCTCTATTTTGTCCAAACCTCCACATTCTTCAATCATTATACCAAGTTTCTCAGTTTTACCTAGTTTCTCAGCAGTCTGAAAGATGTTTGAAATGGCATCCAGAATAACCATAATAATTTTGGTATCCTTTGCAGTTAAGAGGTTCATCAATGGTTCTGTTATGCCACGATGAACGAGGTATACAATCTGTTTAACTCTCCCCCCACTTGAATAGTTGGTCACAGCCCAGACAGCTTCCCTTTGTGTCTTAAAGTCTGCCTTAGAGAGAACACCAATGAAGAATGATATTAATCCATGATTCACAACTTGCTGTATCTGGTTCTGCGGCCAGCTGTGATGTTTGACACTGTCCACGTGGCTTCCTTCTGAATATTAGTTTTGGGGTTCGTTAGCAGGCTGGGAAAGACAGCAAGTGCTCCTGCGTCTATTACAACCTGAGTCTGTTCATCTGTCCCAGTGACAATATTAACTATGGCTCTTAGTGCAGGAGTCACAATGAGCAATTCAGTAGCTCTTAGAAGCTTCACAAGCTGGGACACAACTCCTGTTTTCACGACTATTTCAATCCATTCATTTGGACCATCAGTAAGGTAGGATATGGCCCAGCAGGTATCTGCCAAGACTTTTGGATCAGTGTGATGCAGGTATCTGCCAAGACTTTTGGATCAGTGTGATGTTAAGGTAGGAAGAATCTGCTCGACAGCATCTAACGGGGGTGCAGGATTCTTGTTGTGACAAAGGTCTGAAAGTGTCCAAGTAAGGTTACATAAGTAGCCACATGTTAATGATGACATATTAGGAACCACAAGGAGAGCCAAAAGCAGATCAACTGCACCATACTTGATAACCAAGTCTCGAAAAACTAAACCGTCACCTGCAGTGTTTCCTAGAGCCCATACAGCTTGTTCACTGATGTGGGCATGGGAAGATGCCAACAGAGAAATGAATGCTGGCCTAGCACCTCCATCTACCACAACCTTGGTCTGTTCTAATGTCCCAAAAACAGTGTTAGTGAGAGCCCAAGCAGATTCAAACTGAACGGGACTATAATCAGTTCTGCCCAAGAAGGACACAAATTTTGGAACCAAACCATCCCGGATTATGTTGTCAATGGGGGGCTGCTTTTCCCTAGAAAGCAGTTTCCTAGCAGCTTGAGTAGCCTGGAGCTGGCTTTCCAAACTGTTGCTATTTATGCCTTTGACGAAGTCATCAACAGACCAATTTACAGTGCCCTGGTTGTTGCGGTTTTCCTGCAGTGGAGAGGTAGCATCATTGGGAAACGAGCTTACATCTCCCCTTTTCAGCATTTGGTCATCCTTCTTAGCTTTCCTCAGCTCCACATTAACTTCTGTTCGACACCGCCTCATTTCTGTACTGTCTTTCCCCTTGTTCTTGAATCTGTTAAGGTGGGCAGCTGGTGAATTAGCATTCTCATTGGTGGGCATGGTTATGAGACGAAGGGAGAAAGGCGGCTGGCTCAGGCTTCCATGGGAGGCGGTTCGGGATGTGCAGGCTGCAGGTCAGCTGCCCTCAAAACGTCCACCACGGATCACCCCAAAGACGGTGTGGCTTGTGCAGCTGGCCGGTGCGATTTTTTAAACTTGATTACCTTTGTGGTTTGGGAAGGTGTCATTGGTAGGTTTTTATTTTTCAGTGTTCAGAAGTTTTTAGAATGTCTTTCTCAGATTTATTCTAAAATAGTCTTTGACATAGTTTCTTATATACTTAATATTCCATTCCTGTATGTAGATGTGAATTTCTGCCTGGCATTATTCCCTTCAGCTTAGAACAAAC